GAAAACTGTACTCATAAATTGTTGTAGACATTATTGTTTTATAGCTTTCAAGCAGAAAATCTTACAATGTATAACGAACTACAAGACAATTGTATTCCACAATATAATCATTCCTGGTATACCCTTAAAGAAATAATACAAACCACGAAAAGGTGGGTAAGGCATGTACCCATAAGGAAAAATTGGAATGGAAAATATATATAAACAACGGAAGTGTCCAGTAGAGCCTTCTTCCACATTTCAATATAACAGATTACCAGAGTGTCCAATATCCTCAACATTTTCATTTCAGCAGATGGGAACGTAAATGAAATAGTCTTAAAAGAAAAGGAGGAAGATAACTTATCCCATTCATAACCATTTCAAAAATAAACACACATAAAATGAGAAAAATAAGATAAATTTAAAGTGATATAGCCTATTTTTCTCTAAAGTTACTTGACATTATAACAAATTATTTTAAGTTTGAGCATATATGTGACTATGCTATATAATATTTTGAAATTTATGCTAATACATTGCATTGACCTCATTATTCTTGAGACCTCTGTTTCCTGGTGATACGGAATGAACTATGTCACCCTAGAGTTTATATGTTGAAACCCTAGGCCCCAGTGTGACTGTGGGCCTTTAAGGAAGTAGTTAAGGTTAAAAGAGGTCAGAAGGGTGGTGTGTGTGCTCGTCGCTCAGTCGTGTCCGACTCTGTATGACCCCATGGACTGCAGTCCACCCAGCTCCTCTGTCCATGTGGGGTCCTAACCTAATAGGACTGGTGTCCCTATAAAAAGAGAAAGAGACCCTCTAGAGTCACCTGGGCACAGTGTAAAGGACAAGTGAGAAGATAATAAGACAACCCTGACTACAAGCTGAAAAAGCCACAGAAGAATGCTACCTGACCACACACGTGTGTGGGTGTGTGTGTGAGAGAGAGAGTGAGTTTGTGCACACAAGCCTGCCCAGTCCTGGGACTGCTGATTCATATGGTAGTTTTATTTCTAGTTTTTTAAGGAATCTCCATTGTTTAGTCGCTAAGTCATGTCCGACTCTTTGCAACCCCATGGACTATAATCTGTCCACGGAATTTTTCAGGCAAGAATATTGAAGCAGTTTCCATTTCCTACTCTGGAGGATCTTCCTAACCCAGAAATCGAACCTGCATCTCTCACATCTCCTACATTGACAGGCGCAGATTCTTTACCACTGGGCTACCTGGGAAGCCCAACAGTTATGAAGACTATATGGTACTCTTTTCATTTGATCTGTTTAGTTAATCCTCTTTTATTGGTTGCTTCAATTTACTTCCAAGATAAAGAAAGCTGAGCGCTGAAGAATTGATGCTTTTGAACTGTGGTGTTGGAGAAGACTCCTGAGAGTCCCTTGGACTGCAAAAAGATCCAACCAGTCCATCCTAAAGGAGATCAGTCCTGAGTGTTCACTGGAAGGACTGATGTTGAAGCTGAAACTCCAATACTCTGGCCACCTGATGCGAAGAGCTGACTCACTGGAAAAGATCCTGATGCTGGGAAAAATTGAGGGCAAGAGGAGAAGGGGACGACAGAGGATGAGATGGTTGGATGGCATCACCGACTCAATGGACATGGGTTTGGGTGGACTCTGGGAGTTGGTGATGGACAGGGAGGCCTGGCGCACTGTGGTTCATGGGGTCACAGAGTCAGACAGGAGTGAGTGACTGAACTGAACTGATCGCAAACGTGGTGACATCATTAGACATGGGCCCAAAAGAGCTGGAACTATTTTTAGCTATAAGAAACACAAGTCTTACTTTTTTTATATATTGTATCATTTGATCTATACATTGTAGCAGGTAAAGGAATATATATTGTAGAGCTGGAGGGGTAAACATAGTACAGTAGTGAAACCTTTAAGCTTTCAGCTCTTCAATTTGGTGTTGATCCTGAGCACGTATATTTCAGGGCTTCCCAGGTGGAGCTAGTGGTAAGGAATCCACCTGTCAATGCAGGAGACTTAAGAGACACGGATTCAATTCCCTGGTCAGGAAGATCCTCTGATGGAGGGCATGACACCCCACTCCAGTATTCTTGCCTGGAGAATCCCATGGACAGGGGAGTCTGGCAGGCTACAGTTCATAGCATAGGAAAGAGTCAGACATGACTGAAGCAACTTAGTACACATGCATGCATGGTATATTTCATTGCTTTAAGCATAAGATTACTGTATTTAGCTATTATTAGATATATTATTAGATACAAGGAATTATTACTTGTTTATGCTCGGAACATGCGAATGCTCAGAAAAAGTTCAGGCTCACTGAATTTAAGAAGAGAACATTACAATTTATTTACATTTTGTAATCATAATGAATTCAGTAACTGGGTATCCTCTTTCTCTTTATTATTTTTTAAAAATTATTATCTATTCCCATATTTTCACTTTCTTAATAGAAATAATATCAAATATATACTGAATATAGTAAATCAACTATACTTCAATAAAAAGGGAAAAAACATTTTGACTGCAAAAAGTGAAAACACAATGTAAATATATATATATATTAATTACTAAACAACCACTATGTGCCAAACACTACTTTAAATGCTATAAATACATGCTATACTATTTAATGCCTCTCATATATTGCAGTTCATATGGAACAAGAAAAGTAACAAACACTAGTGGGTTTCAAATTTTAAAATATATTGATTTTCTGAAAGAGATCTGTATCTAAGAATCCCACACCTTACCACAATACAATAACAGCAACTCTGAAAAGAACAAGGTCTACTCACACAGCATTTGTGAATAAATACGATGTAAACTATAATTTACACAATATTTTCAAATTTCACTTTGTAAGAAAGAAATCCACAAAAGTGTGAAGAGAAATTCAGAGATTAAATTTCACAAATGCAAACTGGCATAAGATAGAAGTAGAATTCAGATCTCCTGGGCCAATTGTATTCTTTCCCCTATGGAGAATGAGAAATGAAGAAAGGTTCACAACTGCAGAAGTTTAGAAAACCACTTGGTAGACTCTAGGCTGGGTAGAAGCTATAGACCAAAGAGAAAAAGAAACCTCTACCCAGGAGTCTTTACTCTACTCAGCAGTAAAGAATCCATCTGGCAACGAGCCTGCTAATGAAGGAGAAGCGGGTTCGATCCCCTGGATAAGGAGATGGCAACCCACTCCAGTATTCTTGCGGGAAATCCCATGGACAGAGGAACCTGGCAGGCTACAGTCCATGGGGTCAAAAGAGTGGGACACGAATAAGGGACTAAATAACACGCAAGAATTAGCTCCAGTTTTGGCATTAAACAGTATCCTTTTGTTTTAAGGGCGTGACTCTCCACCTGTGAAGCACTCAAGAAATACCATACATAGCAACTGCTAAATAAAAACTGCTGATCTGACAGGTAGGAACACTATGTACTGTGCTTTACTTCTAGGACCTGAAATCCCTTAGCATAGTACGTTTCACTCCAAATATGTCTCTATTTGCATAATTATTATATAATTAGAATGTATAATATATTATGAAGTAAAAAATATAAAATGCTTATATCACTTTAAGTAGACCATAAATGTGTAAAAAGCTAGGAAACATTCTCAGATGATTTCATATATAAGTGGGCTGCCAACAGGTTGGTGAAGTTGCTAAAAACTGAAAGTTAACTACAAAAGTCCAAAAAAGATCATAAATACAAATCTCAAAAAACAAAAACCTTATAGATTTCTTTTATCAAATGTATGCACGTTAACCACTGGGAGGCATTAATTCTAAGAATTTCTCTTAAACTCTTACCCTTTGATGCTCCTTTACTTAGATCATCCTATGATCACCTGGCAAGGAATAGACATACTAGTATCCAAGGAAATGCAATAATTTAGTCTCTAAAATATTTTAACAGGATGTTAATAGAGGCACATCAAGAAAGACTTTACTTTCAGTAATTATCTATAAACCAAGAGTAAGAAGAAAATATAGTTCCTTAATAGTATAATTAAAACTCACTGGGCAAAGGAAAATCTAAAGGGAAAACAAGGTTTAGGAGACATACTGAATTTTTGGCACAGATATACTTGGGAAATTACTCAATTTTTCACTGACATTATTTTTAAAGAAATTAAACTGTATTCTAGTGTGAAATTATTCAACAATTTCCACCATTTTAGAAAGAATTCAGCTTTCTGCTGATGTGGTCAGTCTCATAATTAAAGATAAGATAAAGCCATATCCAAAAATGACCTCAAGACCTCAACTCAACAGAAATATTATCAGTGTTAAGGTTTTCAAAAATAAAACAAAAAAATCAAACACAAGTCTTAACTCATAATTGAAGTAGTTCATCAGATAAGCTCAATCACATCCAAGGCAATCAGATAAAAATTTAAGGTTTCTTTTGGTAGCTTAAAATACTATCATCAATATAAAACATTTTAAAATAGAAACAAATTCTGAGTTCATTATAAATGTTGATGATTCTGTTACCTGAAATGAAGCAAACACAAAATTCTATTTTGTAAGCTAAATATTAAAGATTTGCATCTTTTCCTTCCATTTTCGAATTGTGTATTACCAAGACATGAGCAGATCAGAAGTCCTACCTATACAATCCAGCTCTAAATAGCTCTAATAACATTTGTCAATTTTTTATGAAGAGATAATAGAAGGAATTCTCCTTTAACTCTCAACTTTGTCAGGAGGAGATTTGATAATTTTTCCCTCTAAACTGCATTTACTGTACAAAAGTAGATCAATGGGATTAAAAAGGGTAAAAGACAAAACAAAACAAATAATTTTACACAGGCCCCAAAATGAAGAATTTAGAGTATAACATAATAAAAAAACTCCTTCTAAATCAAATTTTTACTATTAATTACTATCATTCATTGAGTTTAATACTTTTTAAAAATTGCACTGATTAAGTAAATTATTTTATAATGAGCAAATAGGATGTTTTATTCATTATAAAGCACAAATAATTAAAATCCCTCTTCCCCCTTATTCATCACAATATACCTTCTCTTACTGGCTCATTGGTTGACTCTCCTTTTAGACTCAGCATCCTGGAGAAGCCATTGGAAAGAGTAGAGAAAATGCCACGGATGAAATATCCCTGCTGCTCAGACTCCACTGACCCCACTGAAGTCGGCCACCGTCTAACAAATCTGACACTGGAGCGGGGTTCTGGCTCTGAAAGAGATCTGCTGAATGGAACCCGAAGTGACCGAGTGTTTACCAGGTTCTGCTTCTCCATTGATGTTCCAAGGACTTCGTTGCCAGAGGAAGAAATATTATCCCCAACCATCTTTGGCAGGACCGCTTGTTGTTGTGGTTCATCCAAGTCTCCTTTATTATTTTCCAATTGCTCCCTTTTGCCCCCTTTCAACCTTAAGCTGGGGTGTGTTTGCCACCGATAAGCACCCAGTGGCTTTCCTAGACTGGAAACAGCCTGCTCGTTTTTCTTCCTCTTGCTTTTCACTGGACCGCGCCATGTGTAACTCTTTAAGCTTGCTCCTATCTCTGAGTGTGCATAAGCAGGTTCTGAAAAAGATCTTCGATAGCTTGGAGGACATGGTGATGTTTGTCTCTTAAAGATGCTCATCTTCCACGACTCCATTTTTTAACAACTTCTTGAAACTTTAAATTTTTTGCTCTGCAGTCTTTGCAGTTGAACCACACTTGTCCGTGCAGTCCAAAACACTCAACTGCTTAAGCAGCTTTCTTTGTGTGGCTTTGAACCACAGCAGATGTTGCTGCTTAAGAACTGGTGTCATGTTATTACCCCCATTTTCCCAGATCTCCAAAATTTCAGCAAACACCCAAAAATCTCCTGTCTGAAGCAAATTATCTTCAGAATACAGCAAAAGAAGACCATCTCACTTCCTGCAGTAGGCTACATTTCTGCACTGAGTTTTCAGGAAATGGTTTTTAAAAAAAAATGAGAAGTGAAATAAAAGCGACAAAAAATCCCCCACAGACACCTTTAGGGACCAATAGCAGTTAAGTGTTCACTATGTGAATGATATTGGGTTAAAAACAGATTGTGAAAGTACTCAAGCTGACTTGCCCACTTTCCAGAAGAAGAAGAAAAAACTTGCCTAAAAGCCGGCTCTCTAAGTGGCAGCTCTTCAGAATAGGTTTTAAAGTTGGCATTTCAAGAAAATTCTTGCTATTTACACCACAACTTCTCTCAAAGTTAATACTGTTTTACAACCAATAGGTAAAGTTTTGTGCAAGAGGCACTACAAAGATGAGGGAAAAAGGACAAAAGAATGCCAAAATATAAAGCAATTTTTAATGTAAACATACTAGGGAGAATTTTAAAAGCACAAGTGTACAGAAAAAAAGAAAAGGGATAGTGGATACTTGCTATGAACAAGCAAAGGAAAAGGAAAATCTTAAGGCAACATCTTGTGGGAACTGGAACACAGGAAAGTACATACTTAAATGATTTCTAAAAGGGAAAAGTTTGCTTTATAAATCTAATTGGGATAAGTTGTCTGGAAAAATATTCCCTATCTATTTAACCAAAAAAATTCCTTTATTCCTCTTTGTGCCATTTGCAACCTAAAAAAACAAAAAACAAACCAAAAAAAAAAAAAAAAGAGAGCTGACTACTTAAAATTTTATTAAAGCAAAGTACCTTATATTGAACCAAGATCATGAATGCCAAGTTTTTTGCTGGTTAATTTTTTTTTCAACTGTCAGCTCATAAACTCCTGAAAATAGGGGTTTCAAATGGAAACCCTGACAGACTTAAGACCTTCAATAAAAGAGATAAAACATGGCAATCAGATCACTTTGCAAGCTGCATAAAAAATGATGATTTCATGTGGAAAACTAAAAAACCATCCATTTGTAGAATAAGTACAATGAAAAAACAGTTCTTAACTAAGTCTCTTTCTTATGATTGCTAAACAGTAAAGTCAGTAACATACCTATTCTTTGAAACATATTAAAATGTTCTAGTTATTTCCATTATCATAAAATAATGATCTCATCTTCATTTGTTTATATAGTCTCTAAATTTACACATTTCTGTACTAAGGAAGTGTTGAATACTCAGCTTTCCCAAAAGTATAATAAATCAAATTAGAGTACATTACAATCATAAAATTTTCTCTTGGCCTAAAAAAGACACTTAGAAATGTGAATCTGAAAAAAAAAACAAAAAGAAATGTGAATCTGCAAAAAGAGAAAAACAATAAACATTAAGTTCTAATCCCTACTTATGACACATCACACAATCCACCAAAACTAATCTGTGACGGAAAATAAACCTAAATGTAAAATATAAACTGATAAAGTTTATAAAGGAAATCACAAGAGAATACTTTTGTGAACTGAGGACAGGCAAAACTTCAAAGTCATAACTAGACTTCCCTGGTGGTCCAGTGCTTAGGAATCCACCAGCCAGTGCAGGGGACCCTAGCGGGATCCCTGATCTGGGAAGATTCCACAGGCCGCAAGGCAACCAAGTGCAAGCACCGCAGCTGCTGAACCTGCGTTCTAGAGCCCGTGAACCACACCTGCAGAGCCTGCGCACCTACAGCCCGTCCTCTGTGACAGCAGCAGCCATGGCAAAAGGAAGCCCGCACACCACGGCGAACAGCCCCTGCCCGCCACAGCTGAAAGCCCAGACGCAGCAATGAAGAGCTGGTGCAGCCAAAGCTAAACTGAAATACATTTTAGAAGAAGTAGTAACCATGATAGGGAGACATCAGTAACTATGAATTCATGAAAATTAAAACCTTAATATGTCTAGAAGACATTAAGTCAATAAGCAAGCTACAAAATGGGAGAACATATTCACAATACAAGCATCTTACAATTTGTACCACAAAATGTAAACAACTCCTATAGCTTATTAATAAAGGAAAACACAATTTTTAAAAACAGGAAAAGAGAGTTGAACAGCCCCTCACGAAGAAAGTTATATGAACAGTCAATAAGCATAGTGGGAAATGTACTCAACATCATTAGGACTGAGAGAAACACAAATTAAAGCCAATAATGAGATATCACTCACTAAAATAGCTAACACTTAAACGGCTAATAACACCAGATGCTGTGGTGAGGATGTGGAGCAACCAGAAATCTCATAATCAGTCATGAAGTCATGAAATGATACAATTGCCATGGAACAAATTTGACAATTTTATTTTTACAAGATAAACATACATTTATCCAATGCAAATCAGTTCCACTCATAAGCATTTACTCAAGAGAAATGAAAATACACAAACTTGTACTTCATGTTCACAGCAGCTTTATTTACGATACCCATAAACTGAAAAGCACCCAAATGTCTATCACAGTAGACTGGATAAACAAACTATGATGGTTTCATACAGTTGTATACAACTCAGCTATAAAAAGAATAAACTACTAATAACAAAACAATGTGAATGAAAACCACAGATATTATGCCAACAAAAGAAACTAGACACAAAAGAGCACATACTGTATGATTCCATTTCTACAGAGTTCTAAAACAGGCTAAACTAATTTTTAACAGGGGGGAAAAAAATCAAGAAAGCAGCTGTGAGTGGTGGAAAACATTATTAATAAGAAAAGGGCACCAGGAAAATTTCTAGGGTTAAGGAAATTTTCTTAATCTTCATATACATGTGAATATGGGTATATTTGTCAAGACTCATCCAATTGTTCTCAAGATTTATGCACTTTCTCATAATTAAGTTTTACCTTTAAAGAACTGCAAATTAACTGCAGTTAGTAGGTTTACTTATCTAATATAATGGGTTAGCAATTCTGAAAGCACTTTCTTGAGAAAGTTGACAAAAGGAGTAAATGCACTGAAGATAATGAATGAATATGGATGAATAAATACATACATACAGACATACCAACACTGGAACAAATCAACACTATACACCTCCAGATATGCTGAACTGTGAAAGAATAGATTGTGATTTATTCCTGTAAAGTTAATGAACAACCTAAATCTAATCACAAGCAGCATCAGATAACCTTGAATTAAAGATCTATGAAATAACTATATCCTTTGCTTCAAAAGTGTCAAAGTCAGGAAAATCAGAGAAAAGCTACAGAACTGTTGTAATTCAAAGGAGACTAAGGAGAAATAATGAAAAGTAATGCATAATTTTGGATCTGATCCTAAAATGGGGAGAAAAGCTATAAAAGACATTATTGGGATAACTGACAAAATCTGAAATATGGACTACGGTTTCAATAACAGAATCATATTAACATTAAGATTTCTCATTTTCACTATGAAAGAGAATGCTATTATTCTTAGGAAATTCCCACTGGAGTATTTAGAGATCCTAGAGGCATGATGTTTCCAATTCACCCTCAAATGACTCAGGGAAAAACTACGCATATAAAGGTATATAAAATATGACCAAACAAATAGGGCAAACTGTACATAATTATTGAATCTAGGTAAAGTGTCCCTGGTGGCTTAGTGGTAAAGAATCTGCCTGAAATGCAGGAGACACAGGTTTGATTCCTAAGTCAGGAAGATCTCCTAGAGAAGGAAATGGCAACTCACTCCAGTATTCTTTCCTGCAAAATTCCATGGACAGAGGAGCCTGGTGGGCTACCGTCAGTGCGGTCACAAAGAGCTGGACATGCCTGAGCACCTGTGCACGTGCACACACACACAGACACACCCACACAAAGGGTACACAGGAGTTTCTGGTATGCCTGCAAATATTCTATAGGCTTGAAATTACTTCAAAATAAGACATTTCACAAGTAAATTTTTTTTATTTCAAAACTACTTCCTTTGGGTCCGTAACAGATATTATTAATACTGTAATGGTCCCTATTTCAGAGGATCCTTTGAGTAATACTAATAAGAAAATATCTAGTTTCACAGGTTTCATGAGAGGGAAGTTAATCAAGGTCACTCTATTAAAACACCTCAGTAAAAATTAAAACTACGATTTTGAGAAAAGTTGCACTATAGGAGTAGAACATAAGCCCCATAATTAACACTGTAAAATTCAGAGACTCAGTGTTAAATGAGAAAATACTTTTACACACTGAATAGGTAAGATAAAAATAATTACACTAGCTTCTAAACTCATCAACCCAATTCTTTCAATGAGCTACTACAATTCTTCTTGCCATAAACTTCCCTATTTAAAGGAATATGGAAGTGGAAAATATCAAACAGCACAGAAAAAGATTCAAGCAAAATTAGAAAGCAAAAGAAATACAGAGTGAGGAAGTGACAGTCTCTAAGTAGGAATAATCAAAGAAATTCACCTCTCTTAGAGTTGGCTAAAGTCAGATTTGGCAAATGCTTCAAATTATCTTCTATCATTATGATAGCCCAATATCATTTATTAGTTATTTCTCCAAGTTTTGTCTTTCACCTGAATTTAAGATGATCACTTGACACTCTGCATTTTCTAAATTTTATCAAATGTATACAACAAATTTATAATTTTTAAGAAAATATTCCAAGTTTTATAATTTTTAATTAGAAACAATGACACTACTACCACTGAACTACCACATTCATTATGGATCCTAATATAAAAACTGGCTGCTGATTCAAGTGTCTTAACAAGAACATTAATGCCACCTCAAGTATCAGCTAATTATTATTCATTTCCTTAATATATAATTTCTAATAGTTAAAGCACAGCTTTAAGAATCACTCTAGTTTATCGCTATGGAGCCATTTTTAAAATGGCTATTGAGCACCTGCCGCATACCAGGCCCTGAACTAAGACTAGAGGAACAAACAAGAACAAAACACAAACTGCCCCTGCCCTCCTGGGACTGCCAGCTCACCAGGAAGGATGAGACTAGCAAAGGCAGTCTACGGAATGCTCGGCAAGTGTGATACAAGGAAATGTTTAACCATGTCTGGGAAATAGTGGAAATAGTGG